TTGCAAGAAATATTGGTGTTTCATGTGAGTTTTTAACTAATCGTCATTTTCCAAGTCAAGATGATGCTGAGTTGTATTATAAAATCAATGTATATTTTGTCATCATTGACTCAATTAAATCTGGCCTCACGCGACGGTTTCAGTCTTTACAAGAAATTTGTAAACTTTTTGGATTTCTCTGGCAGTTTAAAAATTTGAATGACGAAGATCTTGTATTGGCTGCTCAACATTTTTAGCACAAATATGACAAAGAAATATCACAAGAACTTGAAAATGAGGTTTTTATTTTTATGTTTTAAAGCAGATAAAAAACTATCATCGTTCAACTATGGGGCAGGAACGGTTGAATGGACTTGCTATGTTGAATATAAATTGCAATATTGCACGAAAACTAGATTTTTCAAATATAATTGCTGCATTTTCAGAACAAAAAGCAAGAAAAGCGTTTGTAAAAATTAATTAAAACTAATTCATTCTGTTTTACTTTTAGTGTATTTCTTTAGATTTCATTTTCAAAATGTGACATATTTAACTATTCATTTATAGTGACAAATAATTATATATCGAAAAAAACCAAATAATAATAGCCAATTCATAATTATTTATGCATGAATTATTTATTTGAGAAATCTGAATTGTAACATTCACAATAAAGTAACAGTGTAACATTCCACTCATACGACGTACCTTCTTAATTCCCAGGCCTCCCAAAAATGCGTTTTTAGTAGACAAGCGCGTCTCTTAGCTAGTTGGCTTGATAAAACGTACAAAAGGCGCCACATATGTGTGTGACGGTCTGTCTAATTTATTGCATTTAGTCTTAAAGTAAGACATTTATCGGGTCCTGATCTATCTGAAAACATAAATGGCTTTGCATTATCTTGCGTCGCGTTTTCTGCAAATTTTTCTTTTGGGTCCTCCGATTTTTAACTGGCCAGGGTCTCTCCAAACCTCTTAAAGGCCCTATATATATATATATATATATATATATATATATATATATATATATATATATATATATATATATATATATATATATATATATATATATATATATATATATATATATATATATATTTAAACTAAGGAATGAGTATTTTTATCATAGCTTTTATCATGAGTATTTTTATCACTAGGATTATTTATACCAAGATTCATGATCTCCACATCAAATTTAGGATTTTATATCTTCCCCTCAATGATATGTCTTTAATACGACTAACAAGTCTTACCAACCCCAAAAATAATTTAACGTTGTTTCCTGGACATATATATATTAGGCCCCTGCTAAGCTTCATTATTTTGAATCGAATCAAAAAAGTGATTCAAGGCTGGATTCAAAAAATCTCTATTTATTTGAATCAAATCAAGCTGTTTTTATTAATAGTTTATAATGAAATTAGCTCAACGTAATTTCATTATAAATTTTTACAAACTTTAGAGTAATAACATTATCAGAATGTTATTACTCTAATAACATGTAGTTGTCATAGAAATTTCAAAAAACATTTAAAAAAGTATTTTTTGAACTAAAATTAATATGATCGTGTTTAGGTCAAATTTGAATGTTTTGCAAAAAATTTCATAAATTGTGAACAAAAATACCGTTTCAAGCTAACTGCCTCTGTCCAAACATGATGGCAATTACTTGATAAAATGTTTAGGTTCTTTATCTTACATATATTAATATATCTACAGTATTTCAATTTAATTATTTTTAGTGTATGAAAGTTATGACCATATAAAATTAACAGCCCCCTCATTTTGATTAAACTTTGCTCATTTTAATACTAAAAATATTATAAAGTATTTTATTAATTTTTATAAATAGTTAGAAAAGGAAAAATCTTTTAAAAATTTGAGACTCAACTTATGAATTGAATATATTAAAATATATATTAAATATATATATATATATATATATTTTTTAACTTTTTTTTTTAAGTTTACATTTGTTGTCGTGGTAAAACTTTCACAAACACAAACAAGGTTTCTGAAAGAAGATCGTACTGATCTTATCATCAGAATCTTTTACAAACGTGTGTATATAAACTACATCAAAACATAATCAACAAAATAAAACGTAATAAACAATACAAGTTCTAAAAAAAATATAAAGTTAAAAAAATCTGACTACATCATCCATTAAGATAATTAAATTTTTCAGTTTATATTTAAAAACGGGAAAAGTAAAATGCATGTTAAAATTGGACAAAACAATTTTATTCCAAAGATAAGGTGCACGATATGCAATACAAAACTGATTAAAATTGGTTCGACAAAAGGGCTCATATATAAAATTAAAAATAATATAATATAATAAGAACACGAAGTGAATATATTCATATATTGTAATTAGGCCAATTTGCATGGACCATATACATATTGAAATATTTCAATATATATACGTATATATAAATATATATATATATATAAATATATATATATATATAAATATATATATATATATATATATATATATATATATATATATATATATATATATATATATATATATATATATATATATATATATATATATATATACATATATATATATATATATATATATATATATATATATATATATATATATATATATATATATATATACATATATATATATATATATATATATATATATATATATATATATATATATATATATATATATATATATTTATATATCACTGTTATATCGCCAAAAACGAATTTTTAATCACTCATTTGGCTTAAATTTGTTACAATATTTAGTTAACCTTATTGCAATATTCATTAATATATTATTTATCTGCTGATTTTAATATTATTACTGTTAACAAGGAATTTTTATGTTATATTATCTTGCATAATCAGCTTTGTTTTAATTTTCATATGCACAATTTTCATTTTTTATTATAGTTCGAAAAAAAATTTTTATATCCTTTATTAAATGTTTACATTGATGCCGGTGACATTTTAAAGGTTTTTATGCAACGATTTTTTTTGCAATTATGAACTTGGGGTGTATATATATATATATATATATATATATATATATATATATATATATATATATATATATATATATATATATATATATATATATATATATATATATATATCGTTCAATTATTGTTATGATTTTGGGTTTTGCGGGTTGCTCATTTTCCTACACTTTTGATTAGTTATCATATTTCGAATGAGGTATCTATGACAACGTAAGAGTTTAATTAAAGCTATTATTTTTTTGTTGATTTAATTTTTTTTTTTTTAATGAGGTTTTAACTGCTAATAGCTGCACTGCAAATAGCCATACCCAAATTTGTAAAACATATAATATATATATATATATATATATATATATATATATATATATATATATATATATATATATATATATATATATATATATACATATATATATATATATATATATATATATATATATATATATATATATATATATATATATATATATATATATATATATATATATATATATATATATATATATATATATATATATATATATATATATATATATATATATATATATATGTATACAGGGGCTAATGTAGACCCTTTTTGACAGCGTAGACCGTATTTGGGCGCCGTTCTAATTTAAAATTGAGGACCTTACTATAATGTTTTTTACGGCAAACATTGTTTTTTTCGCGAATATTCGGCTATATTTCCTTTAAATTTCTCCAGGACGGAGGGGTACCGCCGCCCATATCTTTTTCCCAGAATAGCCTCTGATATATATATATATATATATGTATATATATATATATATATATATATATATATATATATATATATATATATATATATATATATATATATATATCTTTGAATGTCATTTTCTTGTTATACGTTAAAATATGGTTAGAATTCAATAAATACGGCTGCGTATAAACTTTTTTTTAATTATATATATATTTTTTCTTTAATATATAATTATTTCAATATTTCGCTGATCTATTGTGATCAGTGTCATCAGGTATAATAAATAAAATAGTTACAAAAATCGTTATAGTAAAAACAAATCGTTAAAAAGATAATATTAAAAAGCCAAAATATAATACAGAAAAAACTTTTCAAATAACTGACGTCAGTAGATTTTATTAAAAAATGGCCCCCAGGTTATGGTTGTTAGGTTATCACCGTCATCCCTATTGAGAACCACGTCACCATTTCTCAACTCTTGTTGAACCCTAGCCTTGCTTATTTCAAGTGACTGTCTGATTTTCCGAGTTCGATATTCTGAGGCTACAGATAATGTTTTGGGGTGCAACCAATCACTGGCGGATTAGGCCACCGGGACACCGGGACTTTTCCCGGTGGGCCGTCAGCAATACAACATTTTAAAATTTTATAATATTTTAAAACGTATTTTCTTTAACTTTTTTTATACATTTCTAGAATAGTAATAAAAAATTGTGAGTTGAAATTTACTTCAGATTTTGCTTTATTCAACTTTGTTTTCACTATAGATTATTGTTTAAATAAAACGAGTTAAATAAAAACGCGTTTAATAATTTATTATTCATATCTTATATAGAATTTTTAATTTAATGTAACGCTTCTTTTATAATTTATTATTTCAATAAACATTTTCTAAATCAAAACAATATTATAAATATAATATAACATATCTAACAAAAAAAGTAATTAGGTATTTATATAAATATTGGTTTTTTATTAATATGGTATTTTACTATTTAAAAATTAAAAGTAATCTATTTATATTATATATAGTACGTATAATATTAATAATAAATCCCTACACAGTTTATAAAAATAAATATGAATGATTTATTATTAATGAAGATGTAGGTTTATTTTAATAAACATGTAGGTTTAATAATAATGTAGGTAATAATAATGTAGGTTTAATAAAATGAAGGTTTATTTAAAAAAATATTAAAATTAGTATATTCTAGACTTTTAAGTTACATTCTTTAAAAATAAACAGATTAACAAACTTCACATAAATAACAAAATACAGTCGCAGGTCTTCCATTCATAACACTTATTTAAAAATAATCAATAAAAACTCATAGTAGTTAAAAGGCTAATACAAATGTTTATTTTTTTATTTTTTTACAGGTGTGATGTCTAAGCGAAAAAGTGGACATGAAAAGTTACGTGAGAAAAACATAAAGCTTCTGCGAGAAGATGCTAAAACAACTAAAAATTTACTATCCATGTTTTCTAAACTGAATTCAAATACCCTGCAACACCATGCTGATGCTGAGCCTGTTGATGAAGTTCAATTTCACGTTGCTAAAGAGACCCAAACAAACCTTAATGATGAAGATGGCGTTCATACTGACACTAATGAAATGACCCAACCAATCCTCATTCTAAACATCACAGCTTTTTCAAGCATGGTTGAACCTACTGGTGATAACGAAAAAACTACTACCCGAGTGAATGATTGGCTTAATAAGCTTAACCTGAATGAACTGGTAACTTTCTATAAATCTCACCCACATCAGCCTGAAACACGTCACTTTAATTCAAAAATGGTATATTATTGTCCTGAAGATGGTATGCAGCGTATGTTTCTTTCATTTTCAGAAGAAAAAGAGTGCCTGTTTTGCAGTGTTTGTTTGGCACATGGAAATGAGAAGCAGAAACCAAGTTCGTTTGTAACAGGTTTTAACAGTTGGACTCATATTCATCAACGTATTGTGGAACACGAATCGTCAAAGAGACACCAAGAATGTGTCGAGGCTTATCTACATTTCTCTGCTAATCGAAGCATTCTAGATATGCTACAAGGTCAGCAATATAGTCTACGAAAACAGCAAGTTTTACATCGTAGATTGATCGTAGACAGAGTAGTGTCAATTGTCAAAGTGATTGGTAAACGTGGTATGCTATATCGAGGTAAGGCCGGTTGCGAAGCCGTCAATATTTTGGCTAACGAAAAAGTGGATCATGGAATATTTCTTGAAATCGTGATTCTTGTTGCGAAGTACAATGAAATTTTAAAAGCGCATTTGAAGGAAATTATCGACATATCGAAATATTATCGATTATCGATAATATTTTATAAATATTATATATTATCGATATCGAAAGCATGCTGCATGATAAAAAGGATAAGAGGAATAGAGCTAACAGAAATACTTTCATTTTCAACAGAAATACTTTCATTTCCAAATCCACTGTAAACAAAATTATATTAGGAATCGCTAAATTAATGAAAAGTGCTATTGCTGAAGAAGTACAACAAGCGGGATTATTCTCAGTGCAACTTGACACAACTCAAGATGTAACACAAGCTGATAAATGTGCGATAGTCCTGCGATACGTTACCAACAAAGTTAAGGAGCGACTTATTGGTGTTGTCGATTCACATTCTGGAAAAGACAGTGATCTGTGCAAATTGATGTCAAATGTTTTGGAACAAAATGGCATTGATATTACTAAATGTGTGTTAGATAGTACTGATGGCGCGTCTAATATGGCTGAGGTATACAATGGATTTACTACATTCTTAGAAAAAGCGTCTCCTGGACACATTCACACATGGTGTTATGCGCATGTTTTAAATCTGGTCGTATGTGACGCCACCAGCAGTAATGAAGTTTCAATGATACTTTTTGGTATACTTCAAGAGGCTGCTATGTTTTTTCGTGAGTCCTACTTGAGAATGGACCTTTGGACTGATCAGATGAAAGAAAAAAATGGCCAAAACATTCAAAAACGACTAAGTGTTATCGGTGCTACTAGATGGGGGTCCAAACACGATGCCTTTCAAAAGTTTTTTGGTACGTTTCGCGACGGTAAAGGAGCATTATACACAGACGTCGTTCAATTACTGGAAATAGCAGTCTCTTCCACTAAATTAAGTGTTGAAGCACGCTATGATGCGCAGTATCTATTAACGTCCTTATTAAAATATAAGACTGTACTGACGGGATTTGTATATCTAAGAATAATGGAAGCAACCACACCACTGTCCAAATACCTACAGACGTCTGGATTGAATTTCATAAAGGCGTTTGAGATGGTTAAAGTAACTATTTCATAAATTCAGACTCAATCACGCAATTTTGATCAAGTTAAGGTTTCATTAATGTGTCCGCAACCATTCTTGACGAGAAAGAATGTGATTGTGTTATACAGACAGATTTGACAATGGTACGCAAAAGAATAAGAAAAGTAATGCCAGGAGAATTAGCAAATGATGATCTACTTACAGATCCTTTAAAAAAGTTTGAAGTAGAGGTCCACAATGGTATTCTAGACACAGTGTTAAGAAGTCTGTCGACTCGGTTTGCATCACACGGTGAACTGTATTCTGATATGAGTTGTTTTGACCCCAACGGATTTTCTGAGTTATTGGAATGTAATATTCCAAAAAAAGCCCTACAGAAAATCTGCTGTCATATTTCGGCAACAGGTGTGTAAATTTACTTATAAATATAATTGATTGGTTTCTTGTTAAATTTTATTAGTAATTGCTTAAGTATTTTTGTTTTCCAAATTGGTAAACTTCATTAAATTTTTAATTAGCATTAGATAAGGTTATCTCTTTTGTTCTTTATTTTGAATATTTATAAGATTATCTTTATCTTTTTATATTTTAGGCAAAGAAGCGCAGCTGTTGCTTGAGCTGTTGGACTTTGCAAAAAAGTAGCCAGTTTAAAAAAAAAACATTGGAAGAGAGTTACGATTGTTCTGATCAAATCACGATTGATGAGGATGAGGTTGAAAATGAAGATGACGTCACTAACCATAAATGCGACCCTCTAAAGTAGTATCGCTCGTGCCTTTATTGTTGCTACATGTGCTTCAAAAATATAATCTTTACGGCAAGAGCTACTGCATGCTGCACAGGGCTTACAAATTCATGCTCACAATTTCAATTACCCATTTGGCTTTTGAGAGGAGTTTCAGCAAGTTGAAATGTGTCAAAATAAGATTGCAAAGTCAGTTGACAGAAGATCACTTAGACTCACTGTTGATGATGTGCATTGAAAAGGACATATTGAGTAACATAACCAACGATGAAATTATTGATGAACTTGCTAAATCGAGTGGTGATTTAAAAAAGTTACTGTTTTTATGATTTTTAGTTTTTGTGATTTAAATATGAATTTATAAACACATGTACTTAAATGACATCTTTATTGATTTTAAACAAGTGTATACAAGTCTTTATTATTCAATAGTGTTACAAAAGTATTTAAAAGTGAGGGGTTACAAGCGAATACGATTTAAAAAAAAAAGATCACATGGTGGGCCTTTTTCATGATAGCATTTCCCGGGCCTTTTCAAAAGCCTAATCCGCCCATGCAACCAATCAAACTTACCATGGCAAGTTTTAGAATGCTCAGTTGCACCAGAACTGGACTATTTTTTCTTTTAGGCTGTTTTTTTGGTGTTCAATACATCTCGATATCACCTTCTTTTTAGTTTCGCCAATGTATATCGAACTGTATAAACATTATAGCTGGTACACGCCAGGGTCTGTGTTTAGTTGTAGTTTAGTTTTATTGTTGCAGAAAATATTTTTTAAGTTGGGAGTTGATGTGAAAATAACCTTTATGTTTTGCTTTTGAAATTCTTTACGAAGTTTTAGACCAACAATTGGTACCCAAGGTAGTTTTATAAAGGTTTGGGTATCTATTGGTTGAAATGTGGTGATTTTTGAACCGTTTTTTAAATAGTCTATAGTAATACTATTTAGAATGTTCTTGTCGTGGCCATTTTCAACAAAGATGTTTATTAGAAAATCAATTTCTTTTTGAAGGTGTTTTTGAGAGCATATTCTTTTAGCACGACATAAAAATCCTTTGAAATCGCCAATAATAATGTTAGAATTAATGTTCGAATTAGGTTTAAGTTGAACATTTGTGATAGCTTCCTTTCTATGTATTTGAAATTCATAAGTTCCAGAGCCTGTGTTTGTAATGTTAATATGTAGGAAATTGAGTTGTTTGAGGTCGTTTTCAAGTTCCACTGTGTATTTTATGGCAGGATGTTGTTCATTAAGGATGTTCAGGAACATTTGTTGTTGTTTTATTGAAGCAAAGCGAGCATGACAATCATCTATATATCTCTTGTAAATTTTTGGTTCGGATGTATGAATAATTTCTATGTTAAGGGCTTTTCTTTCTATATTTTGTAAAAACGCTTCCGCCATATCAACCATTAAAGATAAACCTATAGGACCTGAATTAAGTATTATTCGAGCTTATTAGAACTGATCATTCTAAAACATGCCATGGTAAGTTTGATTGGTTGCACCCCAAAACATTATCTGTAGCCCCAGAATATCGAACTCGGAAAATCAGAGAGTTACTCGAAATAAGCAAGACTAGGGTTCAACAGGAGTTGAGAAATGGTGACGTGGTTCTCAATCGGGATGACGGTAATAACCTAACAACCATAACTTGGGGGCCATTTTTTAATAAAATCTACTGACGTCAGTTATTTGAAAAGTTTTTTCTGTATTATATTTTGGCTTTTTAATATTATCTTTTCAACGATTTGTTTTTACTATAACGATTTTTGTAACTATTTTATTTATTATACCTGATGACGCTGATCGCAATAGATTAGCGAAATATCGAAATAATTATATATTAAAGAAAAAATATATATATTAATTTAAAAAAAAAGTTTATACGCTATATATTTGAATCCTAAAATGAAAAACTCAATCACACATGAAAACCACAAAAACATAACATACAAATCTATATCTACATTTCAACCACATACTATCTATTAAAAGAAAATATAATCAAAATAAGGATGTCCAAACAAAGATAGTTTATCTATGAAAGAAGAAAAAGCATGCAAACAATGTAAACAGGCTGTATGTGCCTATGGGTGTATAGGTGTAATGTCTAAGTCTGTGCTGTTTATGTCGTTCAGTAGAGACTTATATTGTTAGTAACCAGAGTAAAAGATTTATCTCTGAACTAAACCAAGCCAGCCCAGCCATACTCCAGAAAATCATGATGGATTAAACGCCTATGCATAGATTTATAACTGAATTATGATAAAAAGCTAGCCCAGACATCTTCCAGAGACAAACATCCTCTTTCGCAGTGACAGTAATTGTAATTTGGAAAATAGTCGTGCTCGATGACCGTAAAATTTGTCAAAACCTTTTTACTGATGAATATTTTTTAAAGACTCACAAAAAGTCTACCACTGGTCATTTAACTATACTTACAAAAACCTAGCTTCAAAGGATCACTTTTTAAATTAGAACTAAAAACAAATTTAAGGCCTTCTTCAAGCAAATCACTCATAAAAGATACAGTTCCTAAGAAAATATGCAGACCTTTTTTTTTTAAATCTTTTAGCCCTTTCCTTGGCGAGTGACAAAACCCGCCCCTGGTTTTTACATCAAGAAGTCCAGAATGTATATCTCCAAAATGCATATCTACAGAGTTTTATTTTTGTAAAGATGAAAAAAAACAACAAACAAAAAAAGGCTTTTTATCTTTGTGTTAGCTGCAATGGATGTGGTTATATAAAATAAAATATATATACAAATTATTTATCATTATCTAATAATCAAAAGAACTTTCAAGTGCAATTATGGGTACAAGGCTTTTCTGGATTGTCAAGAATTGTCTCATTAATAGATATTTTCAAACAACGACTGGTAAAATTACATAATGACGATGATGCAATAATTTATGCCGCTAAAAAGTTAAAAGATAATATAAATAGTACCTTTGTTATAATAATATATTTGAGAACATTTTGCCATTGAAGCCATAAAATAATTTTGCCATTTAAACCATAAAAACAATGTATTTTTCAAAATGACAATATTAGTAGATCATTAGTTATAATTGTATCATTGTGCATCACAGTGCAATCGACTATAAAAGTTGCTTATTATAAGAATTGTTGACAAACATCTTGACACTTTAAAAGTATTATTAGAAGGAATAAATTATATTTATGTACCAGGTATAAAAATGCGGACAATTCTTAGTAAAAAGAAGTTTTGACATGGAAAAAAAAAATCAAATCTTAAATTGATGCTAATATTTAGATCTTTTATTTTGAGATGATTTTACATTAAAATCTAAATTATTTTAATATTGTTTATGTATTTTTAAAAGTTGATTTTTTCAGAGGAAGGGTTGTAAAGACGTTGAGTAACACATCTGAACATGTTGACCAACATATCTAAAGACGCTGGCCAACATACTTATAAACCCAGGTCAACATATCTAAAGAATTAAAAGTAATATAATGATGTAATTTTTAACCCAATTTTGGTCCAATATATTACACTATTAAAAATTTACATGAAAAGTCTGCTATGCTCATTTTACAGACTAATCTTGCAAGATTAAATATACAAAAAAGATTTTGTTCAAAATATTTACACATTTTTATAGTTATTTTTGTTTGTTTTGGCACCGACTACAGGTGCTTTTTACCCAAAAAAAACTTAATATTATTTTTTTCAGTTAATTTGATTATTTATTCTATGCATATGATTTTAAATTCATAAAATAATTATTATTGAAAAAAAAAAAACCTAAAAAAAAAATTCTCTGGGGCTTTTTAGCTAAGGACATTTACGGTACTTAAACAGTAATTTTTTGTATTTCGAAATATATTCAATCCCAATTAATGTGATATATACACAGGAATAAGAGTAAGCACTTTTAACTGAGACACGATTTTAAGAAAATTGAAAATAGTATTATATGAATAAATAGTTTAAAAATACTAAAACAGAGTTTAAAAATCTTCATCCCAACCAGAAAACTCTTTTTGAGGTTTTTCTTTTAAGGGAGAGAAATAGTCAAAATTAGAGTTATCTGTAATATTTCTAATTTTTGGAACAATAGGTGCCTGCAAACTTCTGTTGCGTAAACCGCTCCAATGAAAACCTTGATACCATTTGTGTTTACGTATATCGTCTACACCGTCTTTTTGATTTCCTAATCGTTCCATAGGGTTTTCTTTGCATAAACGTTTTATTAAGTTTTGAGCGTTTTTGGTAACTAGATTGGAAAACTCCAAAACTTCTATCCCTCGTAATATAATATTGTAAGTACTCATAGGGTCAGAGCTCGTGAATGGAGGGTTGCCAACCATTAATTCGTAAATTAAAATTCCTAATGACCAATAATCTGCAGAAGAATCGTGTCCTTTGTTAAGAATGATTTCCGGTGGTACATATTCAGGTGTTCCACAAAATGTCCATGTTTTCGTACCGGATGGAATTTTTTTAGCAAAACCAAAATCTACTATCTTTATATAACCTTGGCTATCCATGAGTAAGTTTTCTGGTTTTAAATCTCTGTATATAATACCACGTTTGTGAATATATTCAAATGCTTCAACAACACACGCTATATAAAAACGACAGGCTGCTTCCTCAAAGTAATCTCGATCTCTTAGGATAGTCCACAACTCACCGCCTAAACAAACTTCTAATAACAAATATACGTAGCGATCGTCTTTGAATGTTTTATATAGCTTTATAATAAATTGACTATCAAGAGACATTAAAATCTTTTTCTCATTAAAGACATGTTCTTGCTGTTTTGTTTCCACAACATAATGCTTTGATAAGCTCTTAAGCGCATAAGTGCGTTCTTTATTGCGTTTATCTTGTACTAACTCTACGCGACCAAAGCCACCAACACCAAGAGTAGCAACCAGTTTAAAGTCAGTCAGTTTTGCGGTTAAAAATTCGGGTGACACAGTGTCTGGAATTGTTTTATTACTTAAAGAGTTTGCTCGCGATACATTAACGGCTTTTCGTAATTTATCGCCGTAATCTTTATTTTTTAAGTATGATAAATCACCAATAAAGCTCATAAAAACATCTCTTTCAATCACCAAGCAATGAACGCCACCAGTACTAGCAACAACACTTGCTGTTCGAACATCTTCTCCTAATAACGCCTTTTCCCCAAAATATTCACCTTGAGATAACTGACGAATTTCAACTGGTTCATCTTTACCTTCAATCATTTGTAACACTTTAACGAAACCTAAAAATAACAAGTTGTCAATTAGACACAACAACCAAGAACAGGGTTCCCACTATTAAAACTAAGGTTAAAATTAAGGATTTTAACGAGATATTTTCCTAATATTTAAGGAGATTTGGTCGCGAACGAAATTTTTTTGAAAGAAAAAGTAAGGATAAATAAGGAGAAAACGATTACATTAAAAACATAAGGCCGGGTGAATAAAAATGAGCAATTGCTTTTACTCAGTAATTCGTCAGCTTTACGTGAATAAAAACTTCAGGAGTTTTGCTCAAATTTTTATTCAAGTAAAGTTAAGCAATTTACTAAGTAATTGCTCAGCTTTACGTGAATACAAACTTAAGTCAAATACTTTATGCTTTTATTCGCGTAAAGCTGACCAATTACTGAGTAATAGCAATTGCTCATTTTTATTCACCCGGCCTATAATCTTATTTTTTTCAATAAATTTTAAATATGAACAAATATATATATATATATATATATATATATATATATATATATATATATATATATATATATATATATATATATATATATATATACGTTATATTTTGATGTATATATATATATATATATATATATATATATATATATATATATATATATATATATATATATATATATGTATATATATATATATGTATATGTATATATATATATATATATATATATATATATATATATATATATATATATATATATATATATATATATATATATATATATATATATATATATATATATACATCAAAATATAACGTATATGTAAAAATGACAAAAAATAAATGAAACGCTAAAAATTACCTTGTTTCAGAATATAAAAAGAATCTCCGCGCTCCCCTTCTCTTACTATAAACTCTCCATTTTCATAAAACTCTTCTTCAATAACTTCTACAATTTTTAACAGAGTATCGTTCGGTAGGTCTTTAAATACTGGAACACTATGCAAAAAATTGTAATGCTCCTCTCTTCTCATAATACCAGTTTTCTGCATTACTGCCTGAAAAACGTGTCTTTCCAAATACCATACTTCAACATCATCAATTGCTTTCACAGAAGCAGTGCGGGTACAATTGTAAAGAATAGCTAACTCGCCAAACAATTCGCCGGGTCTTAAGGGTTTTCCAAGAATTTTATCACCTTGACTTATTTCAAGCTGTCCTATATACGATACAAACAACGCATTTCCCATATCGCCTTCTTTAATAATGTATTCTCCTCGTTTAAAAGATTTTTGTGTCATAAACAAAACAATTTCTTTGACTTGACATTCTTCTAAGTGTTTTAAGAAATTATTTTTAAGTACGGCTTGACTTATAAACTCCTTTACGTCAGTACTTTTTGGTATTTTAGGAAAGTCTAAATTTTGAAGTTCTTTTCCACTTTCAGCAGAAACTGCAAATCTTTTGTTTCGAACTGTTTTAACAACTTCAATAAATCTAGCTTTTGGGTAATTCATTGAATGACGAGATAAAGAGTTACCATTATTATCTTCATCTTCTTCTTCAATAATGACATCGTTTGTGATATTAGTATTGCGAGTAGCTTCAATAACGCTTTGCAATTGACGAATCTCTTTTTTTAAATTCAAAATCTCTAGTTCATACCCAGAAAGTTTTTTATTTTTTTCATCAATTAACTCATCTTTTTTTTTAAGATCTTGTCGTAATTTAGGATACAAGTGTTTAAGTCTTGCAAAGTCAAGTTTTTCGCCATCAACTGTCATTGTGTCGGTACTTTTACGCAAACTTGCGCTGTTACCCATCGCGTACTTTCTATTTCACTAATCTCTTTTACCTCAAAATTTCAAAACCCTAAAAATGCAACATTCCATAATATATAAAAACGTATATATAAAAAAAATTTACTAGTTTACAAACAAGTTTCTTCAAATAATGGATGACTAAATTTTAAAAACTCGCCTTAATATTTCAATTATCTTTCTGCAGGAACTCGTTTTTCTAAATATCAATAGCGACATTTTACAATAGATAATTTGTAGACGAAATTCTAATAGAAGAAAACAAAGCACTTGAGCCAATTGCATTATTTAACATAATTTTATTATATATATATATATATATATATATATATATATATATATATATATATATATATATATATATATATATATATATATATATATATATATATATATATATATATATATATATATATATATATATATATATATATATATATATAATAAAACTATGTTAAATAATGCAATTTGCTTAAGTGCTTTATTTTCTTCTATTAGAATTTCGTATATATATATATATATATATATATATATATATATATATATATATATATATATATATATATATATATATATATATATATATATATATATATATATATATATATATATATATATATATATATTATATATATATATATATATATATATATATATATATCTTGAGCAACGTAATAGCAATAAATGTGAACATATGGAACGTAATAACAGTAAATGTGAACATATGCAACGTAATAGCAATAAATGTGAATATATATATATATATATATATATATATATATATATATATATATATATCCTTACATGACATATAAACTTACCTACATGGTAGACAGAGGTATGGAAAATTAATTTACATCATTCATTACAGTACTATGATTGTTTTTTTCCATGAAGAATTTTAGCTGAGTCTATTATTAATACTAAAGAAAACAATTAATGATAATGTATATATGCATAATAGTCAATAAAAATATTTTACTTCTTGCGAAAGTTTCGGTAGATTGTCTTCTCTAAAATTTCGAACAGTTATTTTTTTTGTTCGATTTTTATTTCTTAAAAATAACTTAAAAATATTATCCTTGTAAATTAAAAACTTGGTTTGATACTTTTTGAAGACTTTTATCGATGTTTTTCTTTTCAAACATTTTAAAAAGTTATCGTAAAGTAAAAAGATACAAACACCGTAACACTTAAATAAAAGTGAAAAAAAAGTACTTGTACAATTATAAACAACTAAAAAAAAAACGACCCAAAAATTCTTGTTAAAACATGAATACGTGTTTGTCAGTCTGTCCTAACATTTGCTTTCGCGGCCAAGTTATTTGCTTAAAATCTGTTGCTTTCATCAAGAGGTTGAGCGCCATTCAATAAAAAATATCACTTCTAAAATAGCAATCTCTTTTACTTGGTGGTCCATCAGCGATTAAAAATATAGCTTTTGAAATAAACAATCTTTAAATTTCAATTTGATAAAGCACCTGTTTTACCATATTATCTTGTCGAATATCTATTCATTTTATTTCACTGTTAAACCGGACTAGAGAAACAATATTCGTAAATCGAAAAACGTCTTTCCATCCTTTTTTTAATTTTTGTTAAGTTTTTTTTACTTTATTCAGTAAATAACCGGTTAACTATTTGTTCAACATATTTTCTAAATGTGCTAATGTATTTCTCTTGAGTTGAAAAAAACAACATTTTCTAATCTCTATGACAACAGCATCAATATATATTTAAAAAATCCTTGCTTTAAAGACTAACGCAATTAGCGAGTAAACGGCAATGACGTATTTCTTAAAACGCGCCCTCATTTTTTAGCCTTATTTTAAATGTCAGCGTATTTTATAAAAATAATTAACCTCAGGATTTTATTTGAATTTTCAGATGATAAGTTAATATATTAGGATTTTTCAAAAAAAAATTAGTTATAATCCCAGATCAAAAAACTAAACGCTTACAAAACATTATAAGATTCGATAGTCTTAAAAACAGTTAAACTGTATTGTTTCGCTATTTTGCTCTCCTGCTATTTAATATTACCCCCCACCGTATCTTGTTTTTTAAGTTCAAACTTTTGCTTATTTCATCAAATAGAAATTTGTACTATATGTAAAAAAAAAAAAAAACTCTCATGTGTGGACCTCTAGATAAGGTTCGAAAAGATGCACTTTTACGTAGAAATTAAAATTACTAATTATTTTTTTTGTTGGCTCGATAATTTTTCTGTTGTTATATGCTGAATTTCTACTATCGCTGTTTAATAATAGTCTGATCAAGCAAAAAATTCAAAAAGCGGCTCAATTTTCGTTTGTAAACAATTTTAATTTAAAGTTTTCATTAGTGGAAAGAATGTTACACTTGTATATTTTTTCTTAAGGAAAAGATTTTACTTGAATTATTTGTTTACGGTTCTTCTCACTAGCGTTTTATTTGCGTATCTTTTATAAAAAAAAGTTCTTTATCGGTTCTCTTTTGTCGTTAATAAACAGGCGCCGATCTTTTTTAAGTTTTAATAAAAAAATTTTAAATGTTTACTTCTTTCTCAAAATAAAATATTTTGGTTTATTTGTTTATAGAAAATAGTAAATGAAAAATATATATATAGACATAACAAAGAGACATAATAAAGTTTGTTTCATTCATTCTATTTATATTTGTTTTAATCTTTATATAAAAAATGTTGAGATATTTTTTTGCCTTATGCTAAAGCTCCCGATTAGATTCGGAGCCGTTTTTGTTTAATTTAATTTTAAAATGTTTTCTTGCAAGCTTGAAGATAAACCACAAGCGGAATCATCAATGATAGTTAGCGATTAACGATGAAAGTAATTTTAACCTTTGCTTGAATCAATTCTTTAAATTACCCTTAAAATTACCCTTCTAAAGTCTCTAAATATCAAGCAAATACCAATCAAATACCAAGCAAATTTGTTCGGAATAAAAAAAATTAGATTTAAATGTTCAAAAAAGTGTACCTAAGAATATTTCTTGATAAAAACCTAAGAATATTTCTTCGAAAAAAAAAAACATTTTGTGAATAAAATATTATACAAAATATACAATTTTATTTCACTAAGTGAAGTGGAACCTTGTTTCATATTTATATACTAATCAATAAAGCTTATAAAAGTTGTGTTTAAAGAACGAAAGCTTGTTTAATTAATTTTTATTTATTTTTAGTTATTCGAAATTCTAAACTTCTAATTCTATATAATTGTTTTCTAAAGTGTTTTATTAGTTATTAAATTCGCAATTATATGCTTTTTCGAACAGTATCATCTAAATTTCTCAAATTTTAAACGCTGCTAAATAATCACAAAAACAATTAAGATGTAGGAGAGGACTGGCGAAGATGTACATTTTTTAAAATACATTAAATGTAATATTATATTTGCTTTAAATATAAAAATCAATTTGCTTCAATATTAAAAGTATTGAAATACTAATTAGTGAATTACAAAAATACGAAAATTAGAAAAGTACATGTTAAAAATACTTAAACAGTTGAAGTAATTAGCATGCTAGTCATTAACATAAATAGCATAATAACTATGTCAGGGGAACTCCCCCTCTCCGCGCTCCTGCACAGTGTTCTATTTTGCTTATCTGGCAGCACTTTATTCAAAAATCGAAAGTTAATGAAAATAAAATCTATGCATGTATTTCAGTTCCTAAATGTTCAAAGCATCTAAAATGATAAGATACTAAGAAAAAAAATTATCCCTTAGCTGAGTCAGTGATCAGAATTTGTTTATTTTATGAAGTAGATGTATTAACTATTTTTTCAGTCTTATTAGAGTGTGTGCTCAAGCTATACGTATTGATATTTCCTAAATTTTTTTTATACTTTTTTTACAAAGCAAAGCTCGTCACAGCCATGCATATTTTGTTCGGAAATATGCGAGTTGGCTGGTTTTTGAAAGAAAATATTTTTCAGAAGAAGATCTAGAAGCTAGTAGTTCTTCTGTTGCTGGCCGTCCATCAAAAGCTTTTGAGGAATGCTCCTTTAAAGTGCAGAAGCGCAAAGCTAAAAAATTACTTGAAAATAAAAATCCCGAGTAAATTTTGCTAGCCGCCGAATTAGCAGTTAGAGCTGAAGGAAAACGAGGTAGGGAAAATTAATTTAAAGAACTATCTAGCACCTCGCCGGAATGTGCAACAAAAATTAAGAAAGCCCGAATAAGTATTGAAAATAAGGTGAAACCTATGCAACCCGAAAAGGCACTTGCAATGATAATTAATAACAAATTATCTACCCATCAATATAAAAATATAAGAAAAGAAGCAAATGCATCAGGGCATCGAGTGTATCAATCATATAACAAGGTTTTAAAAAATATATATAAATGTTACCCCCGGATAATGGTATCACTGTGACCGATATAAGTGCCGAAGTTACACTCCAAGATTTACTGGATTTGACGGCAAGGCGAATGTGCCTATTACAGAAAAAACGAAAAGTTAAATTTGATTTGCAAATGGGGTTGTGATGGGAGCTCCAATCAAAGCAGATACAAACAACTTTCAGCACAGAAGGCTAACGATGAAAATTTATTTTCAATTGCGCTTGTACCCCTTGATTATTAATAAGCTCCAATACCATTACTTAGAAAAATCCAAGACCAAGTTCAATGAGATATTGCCGTTTTATTCGCTTTTCGTTTAAAAAAGAAACAAACGATCTGATAAAAGAAGAGAATAGATATATAGAAGACCAAATATCAAAATTGGTACCCACAATTATAGATATAGATTATAGGGTGTGGATTTTGAAATAAATTTTTAATTGTTGTTAACAATGAAAAATGGTAAAGTATGTAACTCGCTATGCGAAAATAGTTCAACACAAATGTGTAACATATGTGGTGCCAAACCAAAAGAGATGTTACAAGAAAAGCTCACATCTAAACTAGACAAATAGAAAATGTATTCCTTAAGTATATCCCCACTCCATTGTTGGATTAGCTGTTTAGATTTTATTTTACATTTATCCTATATATTATGCATAAAAAATGCTAGAACGCAAGAAGAAAAGGATAGTGTGAATGAGAGGAAACAACTAATTCAAAGATTATTTGAGGATAAACTTGGGTAGTTTGTTGATAAACCCAAACAATCATTCGGTACAACAAATGACGGCAATACTGCTAGAAGATTTTTTGAAAACTCGCATATAACATCAGAAATCACCGGAGTAAATGAGGAATTAATACATAGATTTAAAATTACTCTTCATACTTTAGGCAGTGGATTCCAAATAAATTCAGAAAAATTTCATCAATATGTAAATGAGACTAAATATTTATACCAATCTATGTACCTATGGTATTACTTGCCAGCAAGTAATACCATGCGGTAGTGGTAGAGCGCTCGCTTCATAAACGAGTGGTTCCGAGTTCGATCCCCACCACGTCCCTGGTAGTACCGCGCTCAACTCGTTTCTCCGCGCAGCGGCCTTGTTCGTCAAGGTTCGTGTTTTGGAGTTATAGAGTTGAGAGAAGGTTATAGCCACAAAATAAGTAGCCTCCTCGTTTGTAGTGGCCTTCTCGGCCTTGAGGAGGTGAAGTAAAATTTAAAAAAAAAAAAAAAGTATTCATAAAATATTAATACATGGCATTCTTCCTTTGGGAGAATTGTCAGAAGAAGCCCAGGAAGCTCCAAATAAAAGTTATAGATTTTATCATGAGTACTTAACTAGGAAGATGACAAGAAAGGACAATAGGGATATATTAAATAGATTTATTTTGTATTCTGGTCCAATTTTGTCCAACTATTACTTACCACCTCAAAAAAATTCAAAAACTTTTCATCCGGATACAATTTTTTTTTTTTTTTTTTTTACATCTATTTTGCTGTTTAACAAATATAACCAACACATATATTTACAAGAAAGAAAGAAATATGTCCGTATAACAAAGAA